CCACTGCCTAACCATCCAAAAAATTATATCTGAATGCAGAAAGGCCTTGTTTATGTGACTTCTGGAGTCTTGCTGGAAGCTATGGGCTACAGCTCCAAGCCATATCTGAATAAAACACCACAGGGATCCTTTTTCAGCTCTAAATTTTAAATTATTAATAGGGTATCATTTTTATGACAAGTTTTGCAACAGGTTGTCAGTACTTTGTTACTAAGCATTTTCTCATAATGGAATCACATATTTTAATGGAAATGCAGTGTCGTTTAAATTATTGATATCCTAAAGTACCAGTCCACTGTGTGTCCGCAGATATTGAAATCTTTTAATTTTTTTTTCTCCTAGATGCTCGGAGCTCTGTTAGGTTGCATTCTTTTCAATAAATATTGCATAAGCCAGCAAACCAGCACTGATGAGGGAGCAAACCAGCATTTAGTGTAAATAGGCATCAAGTGGAAGCTTGGTTGCAAACTGCTTCTGTTCAATTAAATGTTCCTGATCTCTGTGCACACCCTAGCAATGTTGTTATAACATTTATACCCCTTTTCAAAATTTCACATAATGGGAAAGCAGGGTATCTGTGCTTGTGAATCAAGAGACTGCAGGCCATATTTTGTTTTTACGCTGGGGTGAATCCATAACCAGTAAAGCTAACGTGTTTGCACATAGTCTTTCTGTTCTCTCTTTGTTCAGTACTTTGCACAGTAGGGCCCTGGTCAATGACCAAGGCTTTTAGATACTACCACAATGCAAATCATTATTAGACCTGAGAGCAGAGCTTGGTCCTGTGCACTGAGTTTTGATGTAATGTCTCTCTGCTATGATGGGCTCTTCAATTTTCAGTCTTTCATTTCTAGGCTCTTCTGGCATGGAGTGTTGTGTTAGTCTTTCCTGATATTCATGACTACAGGTACTCCTCACTTAATGTCATCTCAGTTAAGGTTGTTTTGTTATTATGTCACTGATCTATTAGAGAACACACTCATTTAAAGTTGCGCAATGTTCAGTTATAATGTTTTTTGGCTGCCTCCTACTAGTGGGTAACTACTGTGATGGAATTGGATTCATGTAACATCGTTTCACTTAAAGTCGCATATTTCAAGAACATAACTACAACATTAAGCAAGGAGTAGCTGTATGTGGCAAGCACTAACTAGACAGGAAAAGAGTACAAGACTGGCTTTGGTGTACTCTTTGGCTAGAAGCTGTAAGGCTTGTATAGTGCTGCATCTCCATTGGGTGGAGGAATAACCTAGCAGCACAGTAGGTCAGAGCACTTTAAGATCAAATTTGTTGTGTTTGATCTGCCATCATGAGTTTCCTCACTTAAGTTTTGAAGCAAGGCTGACTTGGAGCATTCTGCGTGTGCGCATGTGTCTGTGTTTGTGAGTGCATTCTTTGGGAGAAAACAAAAATCTCTCTCCTTCCTATACAGTGACCTCATGCACTCTTCCCACATTCTGCCAGTCACAAGAGAGGCAAGCATCAGGGTTTCTGGTGAATTGCCTGATTCCCCAACAAAACTGGCTTTAGCATAAGGCCATTTAAGTTCTGGGCACGAATCAAACAATCCCTTCAATGTACTTGTTCTCACTAAAAATGTTCAGTCCCCTTGTGTTTAGCTTTCATCAGGATGTCCAAAGGATGCAAAGTGATAAGACAAAATGCCAGCATAAGCACCACAGTAAACAACAGTTTCTTGGGAATCTCTATCTGCTTTGCTTGAAATCCAGCTTTGTTAACAAACTGTACTTATCAAGCACAAAATGTTACTCTGATTCGGAAACAGGGAATGGAAATGAAGGCAACTTGTCCTTATGTAGCTGAGACTGCAGTCTTTCTCCCAAAAGCCTTTTATGTTTATTATAAACACAGGATGAGGGGGGGAGAAAATAGATGGAAAAATAGAATTAATTTATTCATATCAGGCAGTCTTCCCTACCGGGAATTGGATACAAAATAGCTCTATATGCTGTTCTTTTGCTCATATGACAAAAACAGGATCCGTATCTTTATCATTGTGCACGTCAATGTTTTTGTCAATTCGAGAGCTCTTAGCCATCGGAGATGTTACCAGGGATCACTATGTGGAAGTAGCTTCTATATGCTGTGAAAGGTAGGGATGACCAAACAATACTTAGCTAGGGACATGTTGGCAGATATTCAGGAGACCCATTGCTGCACTTCATTTTTCAGTCAGAGAAGATTGGAGCCTCCCCATCTCCTAGAAAGTTCAGACCATGAAGACTACCAGTCCCAGCATACACCTACCCAAACGATGAGTCTGTATATCACTCTATTAAAGATGACCTGCAAAGAAGAAATATGGATGTATGATGTTTTAGTGGGTTTAGCTGTGCTTTGTTTTTGCTCTTTTATAAAGTTAAAAGCAGCCTGAAGCCTGATTTAACCCCCTCCCCCCCAAACAAATCTGTTTACTTTTTACTTTAGAAATATGAGAAATCTCAAGTCTGGTCTCCCTTAGTTTTGTCAAAGGATTCACTGATGAATGACAAGTAATGTGTGACATGTCCATCTACAGTTGAAAAGGAGGGGATGTGGGAATAGCACTTTTAACAGAACAGCTTTTTTTCCACTTGTGTATTAGGTGTATGAGTTATATGCCATAGGTAGTCAAACATGAGCAAAATACTTTTAAAGTCTGACTCTCAATCAGATTTCCTGCACTCAAAGTCTACCATGACTTAACTGAGATGTCAGTCCCCAACATTTAAAGTTGTGTCAGGGTGGAAAAAACATGAGATTTTTAAAAATGTCTGCTTTCTGTTTCTGATTTTTGCACCTTTATGTACAACTTTTTTTTAAATCTCATGATTCTGAGAGCTAGGGCTTTAAGAAGAACCTCAAGATGGCATTCTATTTCTCCACTCCATCTAAATGGCAGGCTTTTTAGCTTCCTGAGTAGTATTTTTGGCATTGGTAGAGATTATATTTCCCAAGCATACAGTTCTGCATGTAGGGGGTCACTGATTTAAATGTACATTGAGTGCAAGTCCTGGAAACAAAGTAGAGGAGGAGGAGGAGGAGGCAGGTCTTCTCATGTTGTAGCCCCAAGAGCTGAATGGTTAGGGCATCTGCCTGAGAAATTGGAGGCACAGGTTCTAGGCTTCTGTGCTCAGTAGCAATTTGAAATTGTCTCCCTCCATCTTCCAAGCAAAGCACACCAGCCATGATGCTATAGGTCAGGCATTATCCACACCTTCTAGTTCTTCTTTTGAACCTGGTTTCTTGGGTGACCAAAAAATGAGAGGTAAGACTGAAGAAAACAAGCCAGGAAGTGTGTGCCTCATTGAGATGGCTGCTGCTCTGGAAGGGAGGGGTCCTCAATACTACCGTGCTCCTAGTGAAGCAGAAACATCCCCACTGCTCGTCATCCATTTTTTCCAGCAACTAAGAAGTGCAAGGGGCAGTGGCTTACCTTCAAAAGGAGCACTTGAAAGGGCTCTGGGTAGTGTCTGATGTAGCATAGTGATATACCACTGTGCTGATAAGTCAGACAGATATGGGTTCAAGTTCCCTCTGGGAGAGAGGGATGGTGGGCTTTTTCTGCTACCCTCAAAAGGGTCCTAGCCACTCAGTTATTGGGGTAAAGTGTGAGAGGGTCCCTGTCTTCCTCTATCCAAGACAGGCTCACTGTGGTTTTGGGCCACCTATATTTGCAGCATGTGTACACAAGGGGCATATACATGTGGGTGTGGGCATGCCTGGTAATACTGGCTGTAACCTACTGTGCATGCTTAGTCTGCATGCACAGGGTGCTTGCCCACTTACACATCTGCACTGCCAAGAAACAGAACGGCTACATGTCTGAAATTGCCAGACGTGCCATTTAGATGGCTACGGGTGAAGTTATGTGTTACACTTAAACCATACGAAATCTGTGGACTGTTAAGCTGTGTTAAAGTTAGTATGTGCTGTGAGCAGTCGCATGTTAAGGGTTAATACCGTTTCTTGCCTGCACAGCTCTGACTTGCCACTAGAGGGCTAGTGAGCAAGCATGTGGCTAGGAACCAGGACACCTGGGCTGTACACTTGTGGGGGAAGGTGCGAGTTTGAGAGTAGTGCATCCTGAGATACTATGGGACTGCAAATGACTTATTTTATCTCAGTGGAGAAGTTACCCTTATACAAGCTGGGTGGCATGGCTCAGAGTTAACCCTCACCTGATGCAGTGTAACTTTGAGACACTCAGAGGCATTTAACACAAGTAATTGTGCTTTAGTGTGCAGGCCACTTGTGTTTTAAGTGCCCTTAATATGGTCAAATGTGTCGTGTGTAACGTCACTCTAAGAAATGAACACTTAGCCAAGCAAAGAGAAACAGAATGTCCTACCCGCACCCCCCTCCCCCCCCGCCCAGGTGTCCTGAGACAATTGCAAGAATTGCCATAATCTCACTGTCACCATCTTTAAAGTCTTACCAAAAAAACCTGGGAAAATAAGGCATCACTTTCTTATAGTAAAACGTGGCTGAACAGGAAAATAGTAATATCAAGAGAGTTTTTAGCCTCTTCCTAAGTGATAAGGAAACAGAGAAGGCACAAACAAAATATTTACCCTATTACCCCAGGCTGCCACATGAAACCCCATTGGGTTGCTTGCATCACATTGCTTCTTAACTTCCTACTGTCGTTACTATAGCTATCAGCCAAAATCCTGAAACAGCATTTACTTTAGCTGGAAACACATTGTTGGAACTCCCTCTCCTAAGTAAAGCAGTGTTCCAGTACCACTGGGAAAGCACATTTCAGCATTATATGCTGTGGTGGCTTAAAATAATGGAGGCAAAAGCTGTCTAGACACCCAAGTACATCTGCCCAAACCTACTAGTGTCCTCATTTCCCTGGTGAGCATGTTGGAAGACAAATGTTCCGAGTCATTGATAACCTGGTAATCATAGTTCTTGGGCTTTGCTGATACTTATGCTTTATTTTTATTTTTTTTCCCTTTCCTTTTTTCCCCCTCCCATTATGATACTGGCAGCAAACCCTGGAGACGAATCTTGCTAACTTGGTTAAGCGCAATAGTGAACTAGAAAACCAGATGGCCAAGCTGATACAGATCTGCCAGCAGGTGGAGGTATGTGATAGCAATGTTTCTGCAAGTGTGGGTAACTGATGGGAAGGGCATGTGCATGTTGGCGGATGGGATAATTGCCTGGAAGTCAAGAACACTCCTTTAGGAGAGAAAGAAGAATGAATTAGGGTGATGATTATATAGGGAAGGAATTACTGTAGTTAGTGGGATAAAATTTCAAAAAGAGCTGTTCAGCCTGATTATGCCAGGCCTTGGCAGTAAGACGTATGGGACTACAAGATGGTATCCTAAGGAAATGAACAGAAATCGTGTTTTTAGATTCATTGAAATCTAGGCAGGACAGACAGCCATTGAACACACTACATTGTAGTGTGCAAACTGCTCTGCCTGTGCGTGAAACAGCCTAATATTGCATTCCTTTAGGCTGAAAGGGTTGTACATTATTTTCTCATAGGTGCTAGGAAGCTGGAGTTAGCATTGGTGAAAGAAGTATGGACTGGGCCCCAAGAGGTCTGTTACACCACCTCTTCTCTTCCATACCTTGTCAAATGGCATGGAAAAAAAGGGAATATGTGCAGGGACATATGAAGAGATTGTTTAGCAAAACAAAGGGGTTAGAAGTAGTTTAGCCATTTCCAAGAAGAATGCTGGGAGAAAATACCTTGGTTTATGTTAATTCCTGGCAATCTTTTCTTTGAGAAGCACCAGAGCTTCTGTACTTTGGAACGAGAACCTGAAATTTGAAAGGGGATAACCTTTGTGTCAAGGGCCTGCATTTTGCCACTTATATTTAAAAAAGTGCCTGTAGTTGGTTAAGTTATAAGCCTTTGGAACATAGAGCAGTTCTCACCTGCTCGGTACAGACTTGCTAGAGCAGAGGCAGGCAATTATTTTGGGCGGAGGGCTGCTTAACAAGTTTTGTCAAGCTGTTGAGGGCTGCATGGGTATCCCCACTCCTTGACAGGCACCATGCCTCCTGGTCTCCATCTTGGGACTGGAGATCCCGCCCCCTAACCCTCAACCTCTGCCATTAGCAGTTCCTCCCCTTGCCCTTGGAAATACTCCTTTCAGCAAGGGATTTTGCCATCTCAGAACCAGAAAAATAACACATTATATTCTAAAAATCAAACATCTACAACATTCATTAACTTGGTTTCAAAATATATTTTTCATCCTGATTTACATGTGTTTGTGTAGTGCACATAGAGGTGATTGCACAATTGTTTAAAATGAAATCTTACTTTTGTATATTATGGGGGGGGTGCATGGGGTGTGTGTATAGGTTTGTGGGGGACTGGGGGTATGGGGAAGAGTGGCTGGAGTGTGTGAGGGGGGTGTGGGTGTGGGGGTCTGCATGTATGGCAGTGTGAGGGGGTGTTGATGCATGTGTATGGTGGCGTGTGCATGTGGGGCTCGCCCTATGAACACACACACACACACACGATCACACACTTGCTCTCTCCCTCCCTTACTGCACACGTACACTCTGTGCCTCCCTCACTGCACACGCACACTCTGTGCCTCCCTCACTACATACACACACAGACTCTGTGCCTCCCTCACTGCTCTCTCTCTCTCTGTGTGCGTCCCCCCCTCCGCCCCATTGCACGGACATACACACTGTCTCTCTCCCTCCCTCATTGCACAGACACACACACACTCCCTCCCGCTTCTGTCTCCAGGGTACCAGCACAGGCCCCGTGCTCCCATGGTTCAGCCAAGAAGCCAGAGGCCACGTAGTGCTGGAGTGGCTGGCGGCATTCAGGGAAGCAGTGAAAGCAGCAGCAGGCAGAGACTTTCTGCTGGGTCCTGATGGCTTCCCCTGGGTCCTACTGCCCATGGCTCCTGTCATCTTTGACAGGCAGCCAGGAGCAAATAAATATTAATTTTATAAATTTGGGGAGGCCCTGTGGGCTGGATAGAATGGCCTGGTGGGCTGGATCCTGCCCACAGGCTGTATTTTGCCCACCGCTAGTGTATAAAATGGACATTTTCTGGGGTTGAACGAGGAATGTGTAGCGAGGGAGGCTGCTCTCTGCAACTGAAGTCAGCTATTCTTTGAACATACAATGTACTACATACTGCTGCATATGCCAAAAAATACTTAGCTATCTTAGCTTGGGCGCACAGATTTGACAATATTTCGTATCTTAGTCTTTCCATTTCTCACATTCTCTTCTGGAAAATGCGGATACCTCCTCCTCTGACAGGGTGCTGTAAAAATAAATACATTGCTTGTGAAGCATTGGGATGAGCAGCATAGAAAAGGCCACAAGGAAATTGATAGTTTGGTCTTCAAAGCAGAATTGGAACAGCGTGTTACAAATAAGGCCTGGGTCAATGCATTAAACAAGGATGAGGTAAAATATGGAGCGTCTGTTCATTAAGCAAGCGCTAGATATGAAGTGATAAGTTTGCATCCAAATGCATATGGACGCATGAAAATTATTTGAGGTTATCAAAGAAGTCTTACTACTCTTCTGAGTGTTTGACTTCACAACCTAAATACTTTTAACAGTTATTTTATATGAGGCGCTGGAGAAAATGTGAAGCAATGGGCGAAAGGTGCTGAAAAAATTAGAGTGTATAGACTAAGGAAAGAATTAAAGACAAATGAATGTCTGCAGTCTGAGGAAGGCAAGACAGAGGGTGAGGGATAACTCTTTTTAAGTATTTGAAAGGAAGCCACATAAAAGATACACAAGTTTATGGTAGTGAAATTAGTGGAATATTATCAGTAGTAGTGGCCTGGAACTAATGAGGGGTGTGTTTCAGGTGGAGTTCATCCCCATTCCAGTAGGGGGAATCAAACAGAGATTGACAGCATGGAACTTTTCAATGGCTGTACATGCAAGAGGGTTTGGTGCAGTAGATGGCTGTATAAAGATCACATCCAACAGAACAGATCAGAAAATCTTTCACCACTGAAGAAGGGGAGGGTGGAGAATGTGCTGTGACCAAGGCAAGTTTCTCCTTGTAGCAACCGTTGGCAAAATATGGACCATGAGTCTTTGTCCAGCCCGCAGCAGGTCCGTCTGTCTCCTGGCCCAGGCACAGCCCAGCCACGGCATGTTCTGCCACCCCCTCAGCACATAGTGGGGCTGGGGTGGCTCCGTGGCTGGACTGCCTTTCTAGGTAGCCCAGGTTGCAGGTGGCTCCTTCTGGCTGACGCTGCCACTGTCCAGTACTGGCAGGGACCCGCGCTACACAGCCCTGACCCTGTACACCCTTCACCTGCTCCTGGCTCACCTGCCAATGGTCACCAGCAGTAGTGCAGGACAAAATCTGTTGTTCACAGTGGGGAAAATGGGCTGCTCCCCGCTCTGCTTTCAGCAGTTCCCTGCTGCAGACACCCAGAGCCTGCTCGGGGCTGCCCTGCATCTCTGCTGCTGTCACCACCACCTCCAGGCTGCTGTGCGGGGCAGCAGTGGCAATGCAGAGCAGATACAGGGCAGCCTGGTGTGAGCTTCAGGCAGCTGGAGCAGGTAACTGTTGGCAGTGGGAGAGGGAGGGGCTGCTTTTCATAGGTTCATAGATATAGGGTCTGAAGGGATCTTGCAGATCTTCTAGTCTGACCCCCCTGCCTTGGGCAGGAGAGAAAACTGGGCTCAAATGACCCCAGCTAGGTAATCATCAAGCCTCCTTTTAAAGACCCCCAAGGTAAGAGCCAGCACTACTTGGAAGTTGGTTCCAGACCCTAGCCGCCCTGACTGTGAAGTAGTGCCTTCTAATGTCTAGTCTGAATCTACTCTCTAACAACTTATGGCCATTATTCCTTGTTATTCTGGGAGGCGCTCAGGGGAACAAGGTCTCTCCCATTCCCTGCTGGTCCCCCCTAGTAAGTTTATAGATGGCTGCCAGGTCCCCTCTCAGCCTTCTCCTGTAAAGGCTGAACAGGTTAAGGTCCCATAGCCTCTTCTCACAGGGTCTGCCCTGCTGTCCCTGGATCATGCGAGTGGCCCTCCTTTGGACCCTCTCAATGCTGTCCACATCCCTCCTGAAGTGCGGCGCCCAGAACTGGACACAGTACTCCAACTGTGGCCTTACCAGTGTTGTATAGAGGGGGAGGATCACCTCCTTGGCCCTGGTTGTGATGCATCTGTCGATGCACAACAAGGTGTTGTTAGCACCACTGACCATGTCCTCGCATTGGTGGCCCATGTTCATCTTGGAATTAATAATGACTCCAAGATCTTTTTGCCACTGTGCTTTCAAGAAGAGAGTTCCCCAGCCTATAGGTATGCTGCTGGTTCTTACTGCCCAAGTGCAGCACCCTGCACTTGTCAGTATTGAATCCCATCCTATTCTCATTTGCCCACCACTGTAACCTGTCCAGGTCCAGCTGTACCCTCCCTTCTAGCATGCCCACCAGCTGTACCCTCCCTTCTAGCATGCCCACCTCACCCCAGATCTTGGTGTCATCCACGAATTTAAACAGGCTGCTTTTCACCCCCTCGTCCAAGTCACTAATAAAGAAATTGAACAGTGTGGGCCCAAGGACCGAGCCCTGGGGAAATCCACTGCTCACATCCCTCCACGTCGAATATGTCCCATCCACCACCACTCTCTGAGTGCCTCCCCTCAGCCAATTTGCTATCCATCTGACTGTGTAGGCATCAATGCCACAGTCGCCTAGCTTTTTAATGAGACTGGGGTGGGAGACAGTGTCAAAGGCCTTCCTGAAATCCAGAAAGACTACATCCACTGTGACTCCTGTGTACAATGATTTTGTGACCTGATCATAGAAGGCTATCATGTTGGTCTGACAGGACCTGGCCCTAATGAAACCATGCTGGTTGCCCCTGAGCATCATCCCCGCTGCTGGCCCTTCACAGATGTTCTCCTTGATAATCTTTTCAAAATGCTTCCCCAGGATCAAAGTAAGACTAACGGGCCTATAGTTGCCCGGGTCCTCCCTCCTCCCTTTTTTGAAGATGGGGACCACACTGGGCCTCTTCCAGTTGTCCGGCACGTGGCCAGAGCACCACGAGTGCTCGTAAAGCTGTGCCAGGGGCCCCGCAATAACCCCTGCCAATTCCCTC